TAGTGTTTGTGCTGTTTCTCAAAATCAGAGCACGACTGTATTAAGTTTTAACGTCCTGTCGCACCTGCGCATTTATTAGTGATTGTTCCACGGCCATATTACCTTCCATATGTGCTATCTGTGAGAGACGAATGTAATGTGAATTAGTCAAGCGATAGCACCACTAGCAATAAGCAAGCCAGTGCAATATTTTTAATTGCCATCCCTCCGCTGAATGCTTAAAAAACACAATAGAACCGGTTGCTTTTTCGAGCGTAAAAAGCTAGGCGGTACAAATTTGCCGTCGAAACAAACGGAGGATTGAAAAAGAAATGGACATTCTGCTGACAAATTCAAATTCGCATGTTTTGAAGAGTAGCAACCATTTCCATAACACGGGGTTGCTGGCATTTCACACACCTAATGTTCTTGGCTGAAAACGACATTGCTCCGAAGTACATGCATACGATGCGTACTGCAAGTACAGCTCTGCTTAAAGGAAGTATGCTGTCTTTGCTCTCATAGTTTGGTAGCATGAGCCGTCTTTTCCTGGGTAAAAAATGCAAGCACGAGAAGTTCGGCAACTGCAAGCCGAAATTAATTAGACCATTATCGAACAATAAAAAAAGTGTGGTTTACGTCGAGAAGCAGTTTTCAGGATGGAAATGAACTTGGTGAGTAACGGTGAAAATGCTAAGCAGAGCGACGACCTAGGTGTGGCTTACGTTGACCTCAGTTGGGAGCTGAACGCAGAGAAGCGCCTGGCACGCTGTAAGCACTGCTCATCACTTTTCTATGCTCGTTTCGGTGGGCGTAGAAATATACTTCATTTGGAGTACCAAAAAATAATGTTGACTGCGAATTTTGACTGAGAAAATTAACTGTTTCATCCACGGATGCTCTCAGTGCTGCAAGGTGTTCAGGATTTTAACTCAGGTGTGTTTTTATGTCCCATTCTTTTTTCCAGTCATGGATGTGAATGGTGTGGAGGTTGCAAATATCACAATAAGCTTGTCGTATAGCAAGGAACTGCTG